TGAAGATTTGTACCTTTCTGAAGAGGGTGTTTCAAGATTTAATAATAATTATCAAGGAAGAATATATTATTGTCAGATCAGGAGAATTATGATAGGGAAGTTATGAAATATCAAACAAATGCACCAAAGGAAAATTGTTTATATTGCAGCATTATTCTTTCAAAATAAGTCCAATCTTGTACCATCAATTGCAAGGGAGTTAAAACAATGGCACTGTGGATATGTTTGAGGGGGTCAATAAGGGGAAACATCAAGCCAATCATAGATAAATAGTTTGGCAAAAAATCAGATATTATGTGAAATTACTTTTATACATGTATTTGTTGAAAGATATCTTATAATAAAAATTCATTTCTACTTCATTAGCCATAATTCTAATCAGTGAAGATTAAGCCAGGTTCTCTTGTGCGGTTTAGTAAGCCAGAGACCCAGGTCCTTGAAATCAAGAACCGAAGTTGGATCTTTGGAAAGTGTCCCTATTCCTTGGTCTCTTCTCCCGGGAATTTCCTTAAGAGCGTTCGCTTCTTGTAAAGTTTAAGTGACTACAAAAATATCTATATAGACATCTCACCCTTCCACGATTTCTCAACTCTATAACTACACGTGTCACACAATGCGCGTTTATCAACTATGGAGATCGATGAGGAAAACTACGTCGTGTAAGAAAACACGAGAGTCATCCGGCAGCTTCTCTTCGCAGATTGGCCAAAGCTGGCAATTCAAACGCTTCAGGAACTGGTTCGGTAAGAGTAAGTGCTCAGGGGCTCGTCTCGATCATACAGTAAACTTTCACCACGAACATTTTATCGACCTGACTAACTGCCCCTGGGTCTCCGAGGAAGTGGGTCTGTTCACCTGTTATTTTTCTTTAAAAGCTAGGCCAAATTTCTTTGCTTTACATCAAATCTAGATTTTTGATTAGCTACTTTGCAGTTTCAGAGCTAACGGAGGTCATTGCAAAGAAATTGTTGAACAGTCAATTCTGGTTCTTCAAGCAGGGGGCCAGCTGAAGTAAAATGAAAATGCACGACGTTATTGTGCATGAAGAAATTTCTCTTTGATCAGTGGATGTACTTGTCAAAACAACATATAGCTGCATGAACAGCGCTGCCTTGTACAGTCTGGTTCTGGCCCCTCTCTCTCTGTCACGGGGACAACTGTTTGCACATATCAGCATGCGCAGTAGTTTTAGCTACTTTTCTAGCTAATTGTCACTGCGCATGAGTGTATCTGGAAAACCACAGTGCTTCACTATGGCGGATTCTAACTCGTTAGTAAATGAAAATTACAGAGAAATGTTTCCTAATTTATGGATGCATTAAGTTCGGCCGTTTCATTTTGTCGACTGAAGTTTCTTCTTAAAAAGGACCAAATTCACGCTGTCAACGATTATCTTAAGGGAAGAGACGTGGTTGTAAATTTGCCCACTGGCTATGGTAAGACTGTGCTAAGGGTTGTGTCCTCTTATTACCGACAATTGTCATGGTGTGACGAGAAAGGAGCAAAGGAGTATTCTCGTTTTAATATCACCACTGAGGGCACTGATGGACGATCAAATATTGTCTTTATATCAGCTTGGTCTGTCGTACTTACCACTTAACCCTGACATATTTGAAAAATGCAAGCGCAGGCTGTGAGGTGAGGATTTTTAGGTGGCCATTCTTTCACTGAGTCTTTTGAGTGTGTTGTCATAAGGACTGCACTTAGGTCAGCGAAGGAATGGATTCATTGCATAGCCATAGACGAAGCGCATTATATCGAACAGTGGTATCTTATGATCATAATTTTTTACTGTAAATGTTTGTTTTTTAATTACTTTTGTAGGTTTGTCCAAACGGACAGCATTTAAATGGCTTTGTTACTAATCAATGCACAGCATACGAACATGAACTTTATCGTATAGCGTCAACGTTAAAACTTCATTAAATTACAAAAACACTGATATATGCCTTTTAACCTCTTTCTTCAAGGGGCAAATATTTTAGAAGTGCCTATGATAACCCCTGAGATGTAAGAGCAGAAAACGAAGGTTTTATTGGTGCTTACGGTGACTGTGCAACTGTAACTGAAGCAAGTTTGGCATATGTAGTGACAAAACTTAACATGGTAAATTTTTCACTTATTAAAGGTTCAAATAATAGAAAAAATATTTCCAATCTGTCTCAAGACTTGATACATTCCAAGACAATGATTTCAGCCTTTGCAAAGTGTTTCAAATCAACAATTGGAGACCTCAAAGAAAATAGCATTTCTGCTGAGAGGGATTATTTATTTCAGTCACAGACACTGCTGTGAAGTTTACGAATATTTTGAAACGGGGTAATAGGCCAGCTCATGTTTGACCAAGATAAAAAAGAACGACTTGTTGATATCTATGTGGAAATTACCAGTGAATCTTGTAAGAAGAGAATTATGAACTCATTCAGGGCGAGAGATGGGTGTCTTCCGATTGTAATTGCCTCGATTGCCTTTGGCATGGGGTGAACTGTCCAGATATTCGCAACGTGAAAAATTTTAGGGCACCTGCATCCGTACCAAGTTATGTTCAAGAGAGTGGCAGGGAAAGTAGGGACAACCAACCATCCAAGGTCATTCTATTTTACTCTGCTAAAGAGTCTAATGTGGGAAAACGAAATATCCAAGGGTGCCAACGAGAATGAATTGAAAGAACTTGATGCAATGAAAGCATATTGAAGACGTAGCAAAAACAAAGCCAAGGCAAAGGCCAGACAAATCAAGGCCAAATCAAGTCCAACCCCCTTGACATGAACCAGTTTCGTCATGCCTAACCGAGATCCTGAAATCGTGAAGCAGCGGAAACACGAAAGGAACGTGAAAAATAGAGAAGAGATTTTGAAACAGAAACAGCAAAGATGGGTGGAGAAAAAGAAAGTACAACAACCGCGCGAACGAAACCCTCACCCTCTCCATCGAGAACAGGACAACTCAACCGGAAGAAGAAAATAATATCACGGTTGAGCGAGATAAAATATGGTGCAACGTCCTTGCATCTTAGTTTGACAAAGAAAGACAGAGAAAGAAGCTTTCACTGTAGACGTAAACAACTCAAACATTCTTTGCCTTTGTTGTTGTTAGGGGTGATAGTTGAAACAGTTGAAAACAGAGCAAAAATTCATTATGTTTGCATTAAAGTTATTAAGGTTGTCAGAGATGAAGAAAAAAAATTAACAGCACAGGCAAATCATTTAACTGACATTTTATCCAACAACGTACAATAGTTTCTTATTGAGATTAATTTGTTCCTTTGTTTTTTATTTATTTGCTACACAAAAAGTAAAAAGATAGCGAAATTAATGGCATGGAGGCCAAATTTGTTAATTAGGCCCCCTCAATATTACTGCAATTTCGGAGGCCTAGGCTGGTAACACTTAATCCGACAAACTCGATACTGTATTGTCTTCACCGGTGCAGAGATAAGCACCAGTACTGGTATTCCAGATTTCTGCAGTGGTGTCAATACTGGGTTACCAACTGGACCCATGGTCTGGGAACGCAAAGTGAAGGGAATTCAATTGCCTTCACAACAAAAACAAAGTCTGTTCTTGGAGCTGTACTCTTCTCCTCCTACATAGTCCTTGTTTCAAAGGAGAACAGGGGAGAAAATAAAGTATCCATCTTAAACATGTAACCAACCAAATAATATTAGACTGTAATAACCAAAATTGTTGAATGCAGTATCAAAATACCAACACATTTCTTGGTATTAGGCCTATCATGACGGTGCGTCGCTCCTGCAAAGATGCTCTGCAGAGTCAGTGAAGGCTATTTTGGATAGCGAGGAAGCTCGGAACAACAGAATTTTTCTGCAGGCTTACCACCAAGAAGTCGATGTGTTTTGCCAATCCAGTGACAATGAAAGGACAATGGTCATTGCTTTTGACAAGGGATCAAATAGTCCAGCAGAAATGGCCCTTCTGAAGAAGAGCGCCTATAAAACAATGCACCTGCTACCTCTCCCTCATCATCCTATTGATGCTGACATGAAAACCACCAGCAGAAAATTGTACTGGGAGGTTAATTCATTGTGAGAGAAAGGGAGCATCAAAGACCAAAACGTCAGTACAGGAGGAGGCGATAGGAGGAGATACTCCGAAGTGCTCATCGTTGTTTCCTTTGGGACCAAGCTTGATGATGCCACCCTTTACTGGCCCTTACTTAATTACAAGAACCCCTACCTTCATCCTCCTACCTTATCCCCTGCATCCTCTTACAACAACCACTTAATAGAGCATTGACTGGATCAGTGTTTGTCTTAACTTCCATGACAATGCATTAAATATTTCAATATCACTGGCTGCTACAAATTTTTAACACAGAGTTTTAGTATAAAGCACAAGGTGACATCGATCACATTCTTATTATTAAAGGATCGCTTCAGCTTAAAGCAAAGATTTGTTTCTCTAACGAGGAATTTAGCCTGTGACATTTTAAAATTGACACAAAGGTTTGTCTCCTTAAACAAGAGAAACTCGGGATTTTCTTTGCTTCTTATGCAATTTAGTTGTGCTTGCCAATGTAATATATTGAGGAGTTTCAAATTTTTAGCGGATTTAGCGGGTAAAACACACGTCACTTTATCATTAAACTGGATGTTTTGCAAACCACCATCATGTGCCATGGTCACTGAGTCTGTGAAAGGCCTTTCAGCCTAGACAGAGGTACTGTTCATGGTGGACCTGCCAATGTGGTGAATAACGATTAGTTTGCATCCTTTATCTATTCTATACAGCATAAAAACTGGGCCTTTAAACATTACTGTCTAACATTATTGAATGCGAACAAAGGTAACTATGAAACAAGCAGTTGGAAGTGACGGTGCGGGCGCACCAAGAAAAAGTTCAAAGTAACGAAAAATTACTCGACTACAATTCCACGAAGGCTGGGACTGTCTTCCAAGAGAAAAAGGCCGCTGAACTGCATCGATTGGCTAAAGTCCACGAAAGTCCCGCGGTCTGCTCTAGATTCGTCAATTCGAGATCATGCTCACCCCCTATCAAGTGGTGGTGGTGTCCGCTGATCACGGCAATGCCATGGTGCATTGTGGACCTCCTGCCAAACAGCAACTCCTTCTCCTGGCCCATGATACCAATTACGATATCATCACCAAGTTGAATGCCTATTTTGGGGTCATTTTGGTTTGCAATGCTGAAAAGGCTACAAGACCAAGGAAGGAAGTTCCCACCTACCCAAGTAACAAGAAGGAGTTGCCATCAGTGAAACAGAAGTTACGCAAAGACTGCCAGAATGCACAGTTACGGGCAGTAGAGCTGTTCAAAAAACATTTTAACGAGATGAAATGCAGACTTTTCCCTACTACAGCCTTACACTTTGAAACTGATAATTGAAGTTTCCCTCACATGAACTTCATGTATTCCTTGGTAAAAACAGTGCTAAAGGCATAGAGTATAGAAAGCTAGTGAGTGAAAATACTCAGGCATGTTGGTTATTATACTTAACAGACAAAGCTTAGTGGACCAATTACCTCTACTATACATTAAGTGATACATGTCAAAATTATAATTATTCAGGTAAAAATATTTTAACCTAGGTTGATTCTTTGTCTCATAGCCTTACACTGTAATTTGAATTTTATTTTGGCCTGTAAGTGATGACAAATTAGCCTTAAACTGCAGCTGTGACCATTTAAAAGGTCTGTTATTGGTTAACCTCCACAACCCCACAGTTACCAGTTGTCATTAAATTCCTAGTCGTCAACTCTGTCATTACGTCCGTGGTTGGACATTCGGAATGTTCCTTACCATCATTAACTTGGTCTGTCCACTAACATACTGTAAGTACTGGCTTCCAAGTTTCAGCAACAAGCAGGAACAATTGTTCACTCCACTTTGTCACAGCATGTCGCAAGAAAAGTTCACATGCAATAACAGTACACTTGAAAATTGAAAAAATTGAAGAGTGTTCATCTCTATTTTCTCTAATTTTCTTATTCATTTTTCCAGATGCAACTTGAGCCAGGTACTTAATAGTGATGGGCCTTTCCGCAACCTGAAATAACTCAATTATTCTGGTGATTTGTGGTGTGTAGTCGTTAGTAAGAGGTGTATTTGCCACAGAATCTTTGCAAATATCACAGTCATCACATAGAGCCAAACCAGCTTCTTCTGGGCTGAAATATGTTATTAATTTTTTCCGTCTACATTCCTTAAACATCACAAAATCTAAGACCCTTTGAAACCGTAAAAGAGAGGACGTTTGCCTTTTTGAATCAAAATTGTGGTGATCAAAACTGTTTCTTACGTGGAAAACTCTGTCTTCAAATGAAAAATACAAAAAGCATTTGGCAGGAAGTCCATCACGGCCAGCACGACCCCAGGCCTGGAAAAGGTCCTCCATGACCAAGGCAGTGAGCGAAACATTACCACTCTCACACTCGGTTTGTTTATACCCATGCCAAAAGCAGTGGTACAACATAGTACCTTAATCTCTCCTTTGGTCCATTTTTTCTGACGGCTCTCTTTTAAAGCCTTACTAAGCTCCGCATGATATGGCTGGCTTGAAATCCCCTTGCTTTCAAGCAGAGCATTTACTTCCTAACATTCCCTCTTTGTAGAACAATAGATGAGGGCACTTTCGGTGGAAGAGATGACCTGAATGATATTCTTTTCAGTGTCTTTCCGTTTCTCTTCCATCTCGTAGGAAAGATAAGGCCTGTTGAAGCTACCCTGGATAATATTTAAATTTTGTAACCTAATTTTTTGTTTATGTCAGCAATAGCATCTTGCGTTGCGGTTGCAGACAATAAGATAGTGGGTGCTTTTGGGACAAGAATCTTACCCATTTCTGCAACAGCTAAATAGTCAGGCCTGAAACCATTGCCCCACTGGCTGATGCATTGTGCCTCATCATAAATCAGATAAGAAATCAAATCTTTTTCACCCACTGTCTTCACAATTCCTTTTAACACAACATCCCGATTCAGTGTTTCAGGGGTGGTGTAAATACGTTTTAACTCTGGATCCCCAGCCCGCAGTTTGTAAAGAATTTGCTGCCTTCGTGTACTGTCCGTCTCTCCTGTAAAGGATACAGCTTCAACTCCCCTAGACCTTAAGTCAGTTATTTGATCATTAATTAGTGCAATTAATGGGGACACAACAACGGCTGGTTTGTGGTTACAGACTGCTGGCAACTGAAAAACAAGTGACTTGCCTCCACTTGTGGGCATAATCACCATTGCATCATTTCCATATAAAATAGAATCAATGGCTTTCTGTTGAAGTGGCTTAAGACTTGAATAACTCCACACAGTTTTCAGTACATCAAGCAGGTCAATTGACCTTGTCACAGTTCCAAAAGGGAGGATTGGGATAGAGATACGAGCCATTGGAGTGGTGCATGCTCAAACATTTGACACATTCTCTCTTTCATGTATATCAGTTACAAATGTAGAAAAGTTTTCATCAACATTACTTGCCCTAACTAAACTAATACATTCCAACTCTGGTTCCAACTGGTCATTGACATTTCTGTACCAGGTCTTAAACTTCAGGCATTGCCTGGGCCCTTTTACAAAGATAAATTCATGCTTGCCTTGAAATGGACACAATTTCCCAGAGACAAGAAAAAAACATGCAAACTTGAGAGCAACATTTCTCTCTGAAATGGCTTTTACACTGTAGCATCTTAGAGAGCAAGACACCTCAAACACCTCCCCTTCAACCTATCAATCAAAATAGTAAATAATGTATTGTATGAGAATCTTGTCAAGAAACTTCCCATCAGGTACATGAAATCCCTGGAAATCTTTTCTTAAAAAAAAACTTCTATTGGAAGCCTAAGATTGTAATTTTCTTGTGGTGATGGTTTCAGGAAATTTCAATACCCACCCTAAGGATAGTATAAAAATAGACTGGAAATACCAGGGTAGAGGTTGAACAAAAAAGAATGTGAAACTGTGGACTGATATTNTACCAGGTCTTAAACTTCAGGCATTGCCTGGGCCCTTTTACAAAGATAAATTCATGCTTGCCTTGAAATGGACACAATTTCCCAGAGACAAGAAAAAAACATGCAAACTTGAGAGCAACATTTCTCTCTGAAATGGCTTTTACACTGTAGCATCTTAGAGAGCAAGACACCTCAAACACCTCCCCTTCAACCTATCAATCAAAATAGTAAATAATGTATTGTATGAGAATCTTGTCAAGAAACTTCCCATCAGGTACATGAAATCCCTGGAAATCTTTTCTTAAAAAAAAACTTCTATTGGAAGCCTAAGATTGTAATTTTCTTGTGGTGATGGTTTCAGGAAATTTCAATACCCACCCTAAGGATAGTATAAAAATAGACTGGAAATACCAGGGTAGAGGTTGAACAAAAAAGAATGTGAAACTGTGGACTGATATTTAACAAGTCCTGTGCTACATGTTCAACATAAAATAATATTCCCGTGGTGGGGGGTCTTTGGGCTGCCGATTGCGGGAATTATAGATAACAACTACACTTTTTGAAGGCTTGAGAGTATAGAAACTACTAACCCACAGAATGGGATAGAGATATGTAGAGTACGCCTTTTGAAACAAGAAACGATTGATCTTTAACCAGGATATTTCCTCAACACAACCCAATATTTATTATAAGTAAAATTCAACTAGTGGTCTATTATCAATGCTGCATTCTCATTGGTTGATCTACTACTAGGCTATATGTTATCCTTGGTATTCACATGACGTCACCAAAATTCAAACTAAGAAGCTATCGCTTCTTCTGTGTTTCTACTTTCATGTTATACTAGAGCACCTTAAAACCTATGGCGCGTTTTCAGGGTCAAAAATAAGTGTATTGTTACCACACAAACTGAGTTGCCAAATAAATTATTTTCTTAGATGATGATTGTTGGCTTGTGACCTGTTTTGACGAGCTGTCTTGCGATGGAATCCTTTCGTCCTGACATGGCTTTCAAATCCACACTTCTTACTCGAGTTGATTTGAGAATGGTTTATGTGCATGCATAATTACTTTAATTTGAAATCTTTTTGCACGCTTTCTATGGAACCAAATAAAGCAATTTCTTAAATACGACTTTTTAAACTCACCCTCATTACTTTTGAAATCACTTTTTTGCGTGCTTACTTGCGAAGGATTATTCGATGATCAATTTTGTAAATACGTGGTTTTTTTTTTTAAACCATCATTACTTTTTAAATCTGTTTGCATGCTTACTTGCAAAATACGTGACAGGAGGATCATTTGATAAAAGAAACGAAGGTTCCTTTTTTACATGGGGATTTCGACTCCATGGATATGTTTACCCGCGTCACTGTCGAAAACGCGCTATTGTGCTTCACTGCACCGAACAGCAAACGCGATTCTGACTCCCAAAATGACTTTTGACTTTTCGCTGCCCAACAGAATGCCATGCGGACTTTCAAACAGGCGTTTCTACCCAGAGAGGCCCGAAAAGAGTCTGGAAACTCCTCCCCAGTGTCTCCGGGTCATCGATCAAAAATGGCCGCTCGTCGTTGAGTTGATCGACCTTGACCGTTTTTCTAAGAAATGAGCTTGACACCCGAGCAATCGCATTTCTTGCAAAACCTTTGTCTACACCTAATAGATCTTTCGAGAAGATTGGAACAGGATGTTAATGAAAATGTTGCTGACTATGAGTTGTTTCGGTTGCAACAAACTTCGAATCAGGCGTTATAC